TGCCATTACTGCAACCCAAAAGTCATACACACAGGTATAAGCACTTAAACTAATCCATAACTTTTACGAGTGAGCAGTAAGGCAGTCAAACTTACATAAACAATACACAGCAAGGTCAGAGAGAATGGCACTTTTCATGGTGGCACCAAAGGTCGTGTTTGCTTGTCAGAGAGAAGGTGCCATACTGTACTGTGACCTCCATAACAAGAGTATGTACCCTCAGACACACACAGACACATGCACACACGATTGTGAGTTCTCGTTCACAAGTGCGTGCCATGCTCGCACACTTGAAGAATGGTCTCTTCCCACAAGTTATTCCACAAACAGCAAAGCAGTGTGGAGTATGCTGGCCGATGTGAGCCATATATCTGGGTCTGTGTTAAGATAAAGCACCTCCAGCATCAAACCCGGTGTATTAGCGTGCCCTTTTTCCACCACAGATGAAGAGATTTGAAGCTCGATATTGTGCTTGTTGGCTGGCACACCACCACGGCGCTGCTGGCTGCATAATGAAAACACACAGACTGACAGCGGCTGGCAAGAGGTGACACTTCCATTCCAGAGTGGGAAGATCCAAAACAAAGCGCAAGAATGCTTCTGACAAATTCATACTTTTCGGTGACAGTCTGTTGACTGAGTGGGGAAACAACTTCTAAATCAGAGAGGACTTTCATTTAAACCCTGCAGCACAGGCCAAGCACTGCTCCGGCAAAGTGCATACACACACAAGTCAACGTTTCAGAAACATAGGTGAGGAGTACAATTTTTGCAGAGTGGATACAGAGAAAACAAAAACGGTTTATTAAAATGCAAATATGGGCTTTATTTGGGTTCTTTATGGGCTGATAAACGATAAATGATGATTCTGTTCTCAACAGTTAGCACCCTCAAATCTACCATAAATAACAGACTGGTAGTTGTATTAACAAAGTCCACCATTAAATCACTTAGAGAAAATTCCATGTTTTCTTTACAGGATGCTGTTGTTGGACATAGAAGGTAGATGTGGCTCTTTTATTAGACAATCAATACCATTAACCTTACAGGGACACCTAGGTACTACATTTTTGAGATTACAGACTCGTGCAAAAAAAAAAAACATTTGGTTTTACGTTTAAAATATGTGCATGTAATATTAATAGAATAGCGGAGGACTTTGCTAACATTGTGCACACTTGGAAAAATCCAACCAATCCATGCTGAATCACCTCATTTCACACCTAAAACAGAGATAACATTTTACCTCAAAGCCAGTGTCTCAGCGAGCTACTGGCAACATGACAAACAGCACCTGGGCCCATAACTTTTTCAATAAGCTGCATAGGGCTTCTATGTTACTGGGATTTTGAACGGGTTTAAATGATTTGCAAGACAATCGTTCTCTCAAATGACAGTGTCATTATGGGAGTTGGGAACTTATCTCAGACTCTGAATATGAGAGAAGTTTGAGGGGAGTCGGCGACCTAGGGCAAAAGGATAAATCTAGCGTTCTGAGCAGCACATGAGGATAAATTTCACACAAGTACACCACTCTGTGACTAATTTGTGACAAGAAAAATGACATGATGTTAGCACTTATAGCCAACAACAGTTTCAACAAAGATGTAACAGGTTAGCTTGATATGCCATCATTTATATGTAAATATATAGGAGGATCTTTTGTGACGCCAATGTTTGTTTCTTACATTGCATCACGGGATTGTGTGGCATCAAACAGCGCATTTTCCTTTTAATTCCATTGTTTTGCATGTTTGGAGGATTTAGAAAATCCGATGGATGATTCTTGCTGTGTGGATGATTGTTTCGCCCATGGGAGACGTGATAAAAACGTTTTATCTGTAAACAACTGCAAAACACAAAAACGAGATAATTGCGGGTGATTCGGACTCTCCAAGGAAAGTCTAAATCCCTACAGGCGCATTTTGTTCACAGCAAGTCCTTGTGACTAGGTATTTGTTAATTATAGAAGATGTACTTTTAAATCCACCGAGTCATATTGTTTTTGCGTTCCGATTCAAATGTGTCAACCCCGATCATTATATTAAAAATAAATATGGACATTGACTAATGAACACTAACCCGGCTTTGCAGTCACAGTGAGGATTTATCCGTTTTATTTGACCATCGCCCACAGCTGACGTAAATAACGCTGTGACTCTGCTCATCGGGACTGACTCTTGCTTTTGTCACGACCACGGCTTTCTGTTGTGCAGAAAAGATCGGCCCACCTTACCTTGAAACAAAATAATCGTAGGCCTCCAGAGTTTTTGAAAGCCTTTAATTTTTCATGAGTGAAGGGTCTTGGGCTTTCTGTTAAACAGGAATAAATATCTCCCCAGCGGATTTGTGGGAAAAAAACACCCGCGAATCAGACCAACATTTTTCATCATCCCAGAGCTCATACTGGCTTTTAATAACTTTTATTTTGACTTCAACACAGATTCTAGGCTTTTCCGTAAAACTCCTGTCTTTAGATGTTAAAGTGTTTATATATCTGGGATTTCGCCCACAAACTTTCTTGAAAGTGTATGTTGCGTATTGATAGCAATGTGTTGTTGCCACACAGCCACTCACTCACACATGCGCACAAAAATGAAAAAAATATGTCAACAAATATCCTCCAATTGTCTGGCCACGGCCCATGGACAGCTTGGTTTTATGGCAGAATCAATGGTTGTCTTTCCAAACTATCTCTGTGTGCAATTGGACAGAGCTAGGACCAATCAGAGCAATGAACGTCAGTCAACGGGGCATCAAAAAAGATGCAAATACAAACTTTTTCAAAAATAAATGACTTAAGTACCTCTATCTTTTCATGTTTCAAAGAAAAACTCAAGTCTAAATTGTCCAAAGTTGATGCCGAAGCCCCTTCAAACAAGAGCTGCTCCTGAGCCAACACCATCTTTGTAGTTTTTCTCTGCTGCAGCTCTGGTGCTAAGCCCGCCAAAGTCACTCTACAAACAGAGCTCTGTGATTGGCCTGACTTAAAATTGCTCAGGTCAATAGTAGACCTGCAGAGGTTACAATAGAGCGTGACTAGACCAACCAGCAGCGCTAAATCTTTTTGCTACAATTTGTCTAGATTCCCAGGCTAGTGGTAGGTGCATAGAGAGATTCCCACTGAAAATGTTCATTTTTCTTTGCATTTTGAGCTTGCCTGTTCATCATTAGTAACATGACCATTGATACAGGCTTTAAGATGACACTATTACAACCATTGTTGTCAAAATAATCCCAAACTTTTGTTTAAAATTTGCACACACGCCTTTGTGTAAAATTAACAAAATGAATGAATGGATGAAATTAACAAAAATTACAAATATTTAGAACTGCTAAAAAAAGTAATTCTGAACTCAAAGCATACTTTGAAGATTGAGCGTCTTTATAAATGCATAAGAATTGGAAATCAAGTTGACAAAAAACATCTTTCAAGAACTCCAGCGTACACTACTAAACACTTCCCTGCACCAACTTGTAACTGAAGAGGAAATCACATTCCAAGCACAAGCAAGCTCAAAGAAGTCTTGATGCATAGCGACATTAAAAGGACTCCAATGGCTTATTTCCATTATACATCAAAACCTTGCTCTGTGCAGCCCGTTCATGTGACTTCTACGCTTCTTTTGCTGCACACCAGTGAGAACTCGGTGTCAATCACACACACACACACACACACACACACACACACACACACACACACACACACACACACACACACACACAATAACAAATCACTGCACCTACTGTCACCTATGGTCCATGCCTTTACTCCTATAACTGCAAATTCCCCAAGTTCATTTCTAGGTCAAACACCTGACTAGTGTATAACCTGTATTTTTTAAGGAGTGCATAATAGTTGGTGTGATGCAACATTTTACAAACTAGAAAGACAGTGTTGCCACAAATTGTTTAAACACGGGTTACATTTACATACCAATATGAATAATTGAGCTGTCTGCTCACGCAGGAATGATTAAGAGCAGCGTGTCACTTTAATAATCGCTGTCATTGTCCGCTAACATCTAAGGAATCCTCCAGTGGCCGGAGTCCGTTATTGCAGCGTTTCATTATCTGGACTGATAAAAGGCACAGCATCGAGGATACCGAGGGTCAAACGCACAAAAGTAAACCAACCACCGGCCAAAATAAAACTACTCAGGAAGTAATATTTGGGTTTTCGCTGCGGCACAGCGTTGGGTGGAAAATAACTGTCGCTTGCTCTTTTTTTTTCCTCTAACCGTGTTATTGATCGTAGTCTGTCTGCAATGAATGGCTGCAAAGGGAAGGGGGGGAAAACCCTGAACTTCAGGTGACCGACCACGGCTCTAGCATAGCCCTCGATGCCGGACAGGGAGGGGTAACGCTAGGGGAGGGGGGCAGCGTTTACTTGGAAAAAGAAAACCCATCACACTTTGAAAAGTCGGAGTCAACACGGGCGCCAGCGAATTCGGTTCGGCGAGCTGAAGCAGCACAACTGAGGCGAAAGTTGAGAAGAATATCGCCGAGGAAATGAAGTTTACCGAGCCTTGCTAGATAGCGCTAAAGCTAACTAGGCAGGCTGGGGTATGGGGGGGCAAGCCAGACTCCGGCTCGTCTGATCCGACTGACCCTTCATTTTATTGCGGCCAGACTCCCAGATCCTCCCCTTCCTACCCGAAAAGCGACCTAGCAGAGGGGAAGACGTTAGCGAAAACGCTCGACCGTTACACCGCACACGCCACCGACACACACGGTCAACTGACCGCAACCTTTTAGCGGAACAGGACCTTTTAAATACTCTTTATTAAAGCCACGTATATTTTATCCACTTCACCGCCTCGCTAACATTATCCATCGCCAACAACATGGCTGCCTTGCTCGGACCTAAAAAAAGGGGGGAGAAATAACCTACGCCGACCGAGTCTTTTGTCTGTTTCACCTCTATAACCCTAAACTACTGCGCAAAACACACGAAGAGCTGGTAGAAAAATGTGCACACATTCGAGCGAAGGACTTACGTGAAGGCAGGCGCTTGGGCTGCTCCTGCTTCCTCCTTGGCATTTTCCCCCTGCTTATAATCACATTCTCGTCCTTGTTTGGGGATAAGAAGAAAAAAGGTTTTTTCCCATTGAGACTGGAGGCGCCAGTGATGGCAGGGACTTGGTCGCGCACCTGGCTTTGCTCGGTTTAAAGTGTATTGTTGAGGGGGGGAACGGGAGCACGGGCGGAGGAGGCGCCGCTGTTGTTGTTGCCGTGTCTTGACTATGGCTGCTCTCGGTGCAAGTGTGTCTCCGAGCCCCTAACTAACACTAATGCAGGGATCAAAGGGCAGCAACAGCAGAGCAAGCTCACGCGCGTGGGCAGGCACGCACACTCGCACTCACACACACACACACTCATTCACTCACACATTCGCACGCTCTCACACACTCCAACACACACGCTCGCGCGCACGCACACGTTACAGGAGCTCGCCCCCGAGATCAGCGTACGGACAAGGTGCCCCCAAGCTTTCAGGGTTAGAAAGAAAAAGGGAAAATATACATTTAAAATAGCAAAGAGACACGAATTATCTGAGAGAACATATTGATTGAGTCGGGTTATATTAATAGAGCAAATGTAATTTTCTTTGAAAAACAGCCAAACACTGAGCGGCGATAGTAATTTATGCAAATGACGCAAACGAATCTCAGGTCTTTGGCTAAATACACAAAGCACTGAGATTTTTTAAATTCGTTTAATGTGCACAGATTCTTCGTCGATATCTCCAGATATCTTTTTGTGATTTTTTTCGGAACAAAAAAATTAAATACAAATTCATATTTGAAAACTGTGTTTTCTTTAAAACAGAATAATACTAATAAATGTGGTGTTGACGGTATCTAAGGGTATTAACAGGGTTTTACGCTCTATTTTACGAGGAAAGTATTTGCCTGTTTATACTTGATTCATACATTAAAAAGAAAAAGTTTATTTTAGTCTTGGATTCATTTACATCTCCCATAGACCTATTAGTCACTCGCAGGCTTTATATTCTATTATTTAAAAACTGCCTACTAATTTATTCATAGAACATCTATATTCAGAACATATTCAAAGGGAAATTGTGTGGGAACCTGTATTAAATCAGGTGTCCATCTGTGGGGAAAATAGGTCCAACAAATATCCAACCCAATGTAGAAATCTTCTCAAAGTTTTGAGAGCAAAACTGGCCAGAGCTGAATCCTCCTCCCTCTCAGCTGGGTGTTGGGGCTTTTTCACAGCGCAGGCTGTCCCCCACTCCCTGCTGTTGGACTCCTCCAGGCTGCGTTCTGTTGGCCTGCCGCGTTCTTTCACACCTCGGCCGCGTGTGAGGAGAGCTGTGTCTTCATCCCTCCATCCTCTCCATCCTCCAGTTCTCCTCCTGCCATGCCTTCCACCCACCCCCCAGCGGAGGCGCAGGAGGCTCGTTACCGTGGCAATTAGTGAAAAGCCCAAATTAGCCCTCTTGGCTGTCCACAGGTGACAAAGACACTTTGCATTTCTGCTAATTAGGAAACAGAACAACATGATTAAATGGGGCCCTATCAGGAGGAGAGTGGACAAACATATTCCACAAATAGCAAAGAGTGATTTGTTGTTGAATCTCCTGCATGAAATAATCAAGACAGTCCTGTTTTGGGCAGGAACATGCTGGGCGGTGATAGTAATAATGACAACGATGGCTGTGGTTATGCAAACAGCTGTGATCCTCACCTGCACTTGCTGATGGACAATCTGTTGACAGGTGTTCTGACCAGATACACCAGCTCTTGCAAGAAGAGCTCTGTGACAGTAACTTCTTCCAGGTTGGTTGTGTTTCATTGATGAGACTTTCTACACTAAGAAATGAAATGTTGAAGTTCTGTAGCCCACGGTTTTGCTTTGATAGGTCCACTCTCCACTGCAGCTCCACAGGTCCACCATTGGCTTGGCTAAGTTTAGGCCTGGTCGATCACAGTGCTCTATTGGGCGGGCTTTGCATCAGCAGAGCTACAACAGAGCATATAACTACAAAGATGACGGCTCAGGAATGGCGCTTGTTTGAAATGGCTGTGGCATCAATTCTATATGATTTAAACGTGGGAATTTCTTTGAGACATGAACTTTTTCTGCTTTTACTTCTTTGTTGTGTACAACGGGACGTTGACTGATTACTGTCACTCGCTGTCACTATGAAGATGTTAGGTTTTCATTGCTCTGGCTGGTCGTAGCTCTGTCCAACTGCCTGCAGAGACAGTTTCAAAGTCAACCGTAGGTTCTGTCCCTATGAGTTCTGTCTATGAGTCGTTGCCAGACTATATATTTACATAGAAAGGGTGGTTTGGTCCCCTCGGTCATCCGGGAGGAGCTTGGAGTAGATCCGCTGCTCCTCCACGCCGAGAGGAGCAAGTTGAGGTCGCTCAAGCATCTGGTCAGGATGCCTCCTGGACACCTCCCTGGTGAGGTTTTCCAGACACGTCCAACTGGGAGAAGACCTAAGGGGAGACCCAGGACACCATGGAGAGTCTGTGTCTCTCACCTGGCCAGGGAACACCTTGGGGTTCCGTCAAAAGAGCTGTCCCAAGTGGCTGGGGAGAGGGAAGTCTGGGCCTCTCTGCTAGGCTGTTGCCCCCGCGACCCGACTCTGGATAAACGGAAGAAAATGGATGGATGGTTGGATAGGGTGGCTTGCTGGGCTAATGTCAATTGGTTCCACTAGTTGCTTAACTGTAAAGAGTAATGTACATTGGTTTTGGGATTTATGACTCTTTGAAGGAAGCCGTTTACTTCAAAGCGTCATTCAAAAGACTGGCTTTGAGGGGGGTTAGCGTTCTGCCGATGTGCAGGAGAGCGCGCGGGCATAACTGGAAGACAAAATGAACTATTCTATAAGGACTCGGCTCTCTTTGTTCACTTTGAAGAGCTGTTTAAAAGATTTGATTCATCACATCTCTAATCTACATTTACTTTTAACATAACAATGTATGTCAATGTACTTTACATTTAAGCAACTAGTGGAACCAGTTGCCATAACTTGGTTAAACCTTTGATGCATGAACTATGAAATCTTCAACCATGGTTTTTTAAAACAATTTTTTTCATTCATCTTTAGGTGTGAACGAAACAAATTTCAACACATATTTCTTGCAACATTTAATAATTTACTAATAATTTATTACATGTCCACCTTAGTGGACACTGTGCATTCTGAACATGAAATATGTTGGCTTGACTTACTGAAGTCCAAATGGAGGGGCTCAAATGCAATAAAGTCTTCAACAGCTGTGATTAATAGCAAAAAAAAAAAAAAAAAAAAAAAAGAAAGAATTTTGAGTACCTGTCCACTATAGAGACCATTATGCATCAAAGGGTTAAAGGTGTGGTTTTCATGCAGGCTGATCATGACAATAGTCTCCTACACCTATCACCTGCATTAGTTAGCTTCTCATTGAAAATAGACGGTGAAACTCTAGCATTTAAAAATTCTCACATCTACGTCACACTGTGAATTAGCACTTATGAACTCACCAGTCTTGACTCATGATGAGGAAGGCTGTTGTTTTTAACATCTGGTAATCAGCAGCGGATGTCTCAGCTAGTAGAAGCTAATAGTTAGCATTAGCAACTTATGGCTCTGTGGAGAAAAAACGTTAATGTTGCAGGTCAGTGGCAGAGTCATGTTGTTATCCAATCCGGGGCAAGATGTCCAAACATCAGGAAATAAAACTCCAAACTCTGACCTCTGAAGCTCAGCTACAGGTGCTGGCCAGTAAATTAGAATATCATCAAAAGGTTGAAAATATTTCAGTAATTCCATTCAAAACGTGAAACTTGTACATTATATTCATGCAATGCACACAGACCAATGTATTTCCGATGTTTATTACGTTTAATTTTGATATTTATAGGTGACAACCAATGAAAACATCAAATCTGGTATCTCAGAAAATTAGAATATTCTAAAGGCCAATGAAAAAATGTTTGTTTCTCTAATGTTGGCCAACTGAAAAGAATGAACATGAAAAGAATGTGCATGTATAGCACTCAATACTTAGTCGGGGCTCCTTTTGCCTCAATAACTGCAGTAATGCGGCGTGGCATGGACTCGATCAGTCTGTGGCACTGCTCAGGTGTTATGAGAGCCCAGGTTGCTCTGATAGTCGTCTTCAGCTCCTCTGCATTGTTGGGTCTAGCGTATTGCATCCTCCGCTTCACAATACCCCATAGATTTTCTATGGGGTTAAGGTCAGGCGAGTTTGCTGGCCAATCAAGGACAGGGATACCATGGTCCTTGAACCAGGTGCTGGTGGTTTTGGCACTGTGTGCAGGTGCCAAGTCCTGTTGAAAGGTGAAGTCTGCATCCCCATAAAGTTGGTCAGCAGCAGGAAGCATGAAGTGCTCTAAAACTTCCTGGTAGACGGCTGCATTGACCCTGGACCTCAGGAAACAGAGTGGGCCAACACCGGCAGATGACATGGCACCCCACACCATCACTGACGGTGGAAACTTTACACTGGACCTCATGCAACGTGGATTCTGTGCTTCTCCGCTCTTCCTCCAGACTCTGGGTCCTTGATTTCCAAAGGAAATGCAGAACTTGCTTTCATCAGAAAACATAACTTTGGACCACTCAGCATCAGTCCAGTCCTTTTTGTCCTTGGCCCAGGCGAGACGCTTCTTGCGCTGTTTCATGTTCAAGAGTGGCTTGACACACGGAATGCGACACCTGAATCCCATGTCTTTCATGAGTCTCCTCGTGGTGGTTCTTGAAGCGCTGACTCCAGCTGCAGTCCACTCTTTGTGGATCTCCCCCACATTTTTGAATGGGTTTGTCGTCACAATTCTCTGCAGGGTGCGGTTATCCCTAGAGCTTGTACACTTTTTTCTACCACATTTTTTCCGTCCCTTCGCCTGTCTGTTAATGTGCTTGGACACAGAGCTCTGCGAACAGCCAGCTTCTTTAGCAATCACCTTTTGTGTCTTGCCCTCCTTGTGCAAGGTGTCAATGATTGTCTTTTGGACAGCTGTTAAGTCAGAAGTCTTCCCCATGATTGTGGTGCCTTCAAAACAAGACTGAGGGACCTTTTAAAGGCCTTTGCAGGTGTTTTGAGGAAATCAGCTGATTAGAGTGGCAGCAGGTGTCTTCTATATTCAGCCTTTTCAGAATATTCTAATTTTTTGAGATACCAAATTTGGAGTTTTCATTAGTTGTCACTTATGAATATCAAATTTAAATGTAATGAACATTGGAAATACATTGGTCTGTGTGCATTGCATGAATATAATGTACAAGTTTCACGTTTTGAATGGAATTACTGAAATATTTTCAACCTTTTGATGATATTCTAATTTACTGGCCAGCACCTGTATGTTGCAGACTTGGTCTGCTGAGCCAGGAGTTTGTGGGCTTTTTTGTGCCCTGAGATTTGCCTGCAAGGCATCCATTCCTTCTAGAAACCACTGCACATGTGCAGATTAAAAAGTAATCCACTCTAAGTAAATTCAACCTTTCATTTCTTACAGCGTAA